CCGGGCGCCCTGTCTCCCCCTCGGCGGCCCCCGCCCCCCGGCCCGGCCCGGCCCGGCCCGGCCCGACCCAGGCCCCTCAGGGCGGCCTCCCGCCGGCGGGCTCTGCGCTGCGCGCGTGCGTGCGGACGCGTGTGCGTGCTTGTGTGTACGTGCGCGCGAGCGTGTGTACGTGCTGCGTGCGTACGTGCTGCGTGCGTACTGCTACGTGCGTACTGCTACGTGCGTACGTGCATGTGTGCGTGGAGGGGGACACGCGGGGCGAGACCAAGTCTCCACGACGTTTTGTGCGTCTGCTTCCTCCCGCCCTGCGCCCTCCGCCCTCTGCCCTGCGCCCTCCGCCCTCCGCCCTCTGCCCTGCGCCCTCTGCCCTGCGCCCTGCGCCCGCGCGGGCCCCGGGCCTCCTCGCCTGCCCCTGGCCGGGCTGTGGACGCCGCGGGCAGCGGAGCAGGACGGCGCGTCGGGCCCGGCGGGGGCGGGGGCGGGGGCGGGAGGCCCGGGCCGGGGCCTGGGGAGGCGGAGCCGGTGGCCACGCAGCCCCCCGCCGGCCGCCCCCGCAGCGCCGCGCCCTGGGCCTGACCCCCGGGCGGGCCGCCCCTGCACCGGCTCCTCCCTGCGGGCCCTGGAGGGGCCCCGGCGCTCTGGGGGCTGCGCGTCCCGGCCGGGGCACAGCGCCCGCGCCGCGGGGAGGGCGGCCTCGCTCGGCAGGCAGCGCCGCGGGCGCGGGGCCGGCGCACCGCAGGTCTTCGGGGTGGGCGTCGCGCACCCCCGCCAGCCCCGGGCGGTGTTGAGAGCCAGCGTCACACAACGTCGGTGTTTCCTGCTGTTTGTCGCGGAGAATGGGGTTTTATTATTTTATTGAAGGAAATAATGAAACAGCAGGCGCCGCCGGCCGTGGGTCAGGGGTCAGCAGACGGCGGGCGCCGAGGCCCCGGGCAGCGTGCGGGCTGGGCCTGGTCCTTACCCGGGGTGGCACCGGAGCCGGCCTTTGACAGCAGATGCTGGGCAGGAATGTGGCGCCAGGGCCGCCCCGTGTCCTAAGTTTTTTCAGAGGAGCTGGGAGTCTGGAAGTTTATGCCACATTCAGGCGGGTCAAGCAAATGAAGTCGGCACCGTTAGCTTGCAGACCCGGGAAAGGATGGGGTTTCGGCCGGCCAGAGCCGAGAGACCATCTGGCCGTTGCCAGTGGCCAGAGCTAGACGCCTCCTAGGTATGTCCCCTCCAGGGGGAGACCCACAGGGCTCGCCCCCCTCCCCTGACGGTCCCCTGGGCTGCCAGTGTCTTGGTGCTGCGTGATTCCCTGACTCGGGGTGTCTGCACGTCCGCCCTAGGGCAGACACCCAGCCAGGCGTCCCAGCGACACCACCTGGCAGACGTGCGTGGCCCTTCCAGCAGCAGCTCCCACGGGTGGTCGAGCCGACCTGCCAACACGATCAGGGACATGGAGGACCAGTCCCCGGGACCCATAAACTCAAGGCAGGCGAGTGGGCCCCTTGGAGGGGTGATCCTGATGGGTCTCCAAACCCTCCGTGGCCTGGGGGCCACAGATCTGCTGGTTGAGCTTGAAATGACAGAGAACCGAGAGGCCCAGCTCGTGATGCACAATTCACCCCATGATCCTTAGACGGTGCTGAAATGGCTGTGGAGGGCAAACGAGAGGCCCAGTGTGAAGCGCCGGGGTCGGCGGGGACGAGGAGGCAGCGTCCTCTTTGCCTTTGCACCTGCTGTTCCTCTCCCTGGAGCAGCTGCGCCTCAGCCCTCCCCGGCCCCTCCCTCCTCCTGGAAAGCCTCTGTGCGGCCAGACTCACACCCCTCCTCGAGAGGCCGGTCCCCCACCCCTGACACTCCTGCAGAGCCGACGTCTCTCGCAACGTTACGTGCTGATTTTCAACTTTTGGGGCACCAGGCTCGCCCAGGGTGAGTCCGCAGGCCATGGAGCTTGTCTCGCTTTCAGCACGGCCTGGGTCAGTCGGGGCACATGGCGCCTGCGGAGGGGATGAGACCCGTGCCAAGCAGCCCAGAGCCCAGGGCCAGCGCTGGAGTCTTCTGAGCCCAACAGACTGAGCAGCCCTGGTCCTGCTTACGGGAGCTCCCTGAGTGAATCATGAGTGTGGGGGAGTCTGTGGAACTCGGGCCATAGCAGTGACCCCAGAGGAAAGTGTGGGCGTCGTGGTTGCCAGCACCCAGCCCTGGCACAGGGCTGGGCACTCGGGCCTCGGGCTCACCTGCTGCAGGGGCATGGCGGGCGCAAGGAAGAGCAGGGCCCCGTGGACCTCCGCCGGCCTCTGACAGAGCTGCAGTACACTGTCCTGGGCCCCCTCATTCTGGTTCTCCCACAAAGGCAGCAGGAGGAAGAGGGAGCTGCCACCCCAGGGGGCAGAGTCCCCACACATTCCTCCAGGGCTCCGGGCCCCCGCCCTCGCCAAGGCGTCTGGGCTGCCTGCGTCAGCGACTCCAGTGCTGGCCAACGGGAAGGCAGGAGGGGGAGCAAAGAAGGCCCTACTTTACCTCCAGCCCCGCCATGAGCCCTCCCCGCGCCCCCCAGGCCACCCAGACGCCCTGCTCTCTGGAACCTGCTGCCCACACGTGCGGGAGCTGCTCCCCGGGTGTCCTCTCCCTCCCCTCCCGCGCCCTCTGCTGGGGGGACGACGCATAGCAGGACGTCGGGGACGCGACCCGGCTCTGTCCTGGCTTCCACACCGGACAGTCAGTCCAAGGAGGCTGCTGTCCACAGCGCGTGCCGCTAAGTCTGAGAACAGTGTTTTCTTGGCTTCCCATAAACCTCTCCGCTCCTTTGGCATTTCGTACTCAGTTCAAGTTGGGCCTGATGTCAGGTTTGCCCAGGTCAGTGAGCCACACTGACCAGGGCTCCCCGGGGCCCCTCGCCGCCTGTGAGAGGGGCCGAGGGCCCCCAGGCGGGCTGGGGGCTGAAATGCCACCGCGACACCCACATTGCCAGGACCCTGATCCCGGGGAGGAAGAGAAAGACAAAAGGTCCACGTCTAAGAGCCGTGCTGCTTCCCAGAGTCCCCTTGGTCTGTCTGACCTGCGTGCCCAGCGTGCAGTCAGACCATGGCACACAGTCAGGCCACAGTACACAGACCACGGCGCATAGTCAGGCCACAGTACACAGGCCACGACGCACAGGCCACAGTACACAGGCCACAGTACACAGGCCACGGCGCACAGTCAGGCCACAGTACATAGGTCACAGTACACAGGCCACGGTGCACAGTCAGGCCACAGTACACAGACCGCAGCGCGCAGTCAGGCCACAGTACACAGGCCATGGTACACAGGCCACAGCGCAGAGGACACGTGTCACTGCTCCTAGATGATGACACACTCACAGACACCGCCAGGCTCCCAGGCACACGGGCCCCATGGCCAGGTCCCACTGCCAGCCCCAGCACGAGCAACAGCCCTGGAGACGAGGCCCGGCTGCTGAGCTAACAAGACGCAGCTGCCACCTTTGCCTCTGAACGTGCCTCTGAGTTTTGCCTTTTATTACCTCGTCCTGGCCATCGACGTCTTGACCCCAGGAGGGCAGTCACCTCTCTCCCGCCCAGCTGTGCGGCAGGCGTCCGCAGCGGCATGAGCCAGCACCTGGGCAGCCACCCCCTCCGCCGGCCCTGGTGAGTAGCCGAGCCCGAGCTCTGGAGCTGCACAGGCACCGGGAGCGCCCAGGAAGCGGGCACACAGACGCAGGGCACGCCCACGCACACCCACGCTGCTGCTGGAGCGTCGACACTCACACCCACACGCCTCTCCCAGCAGCACTGAGCGGCGCGCGGAGAGCCAGACGCTGGCCTGGCTTCCAGGGAGGGGGCTCCGCACCAGAGTCAACAGCTGCACGTCAGCGCGTCTGGGAGCGCCACGGCGGACCTCAGCCCCGGCACCGCAGCATGAGGAGCTGCTGCTTCAGCCACCCCACGGGCACCTGGCCACAGCCACAGCCCGAGGCATGAGCCAGCTTCCTGCCACGGGCAGCTCCGTGCTGCTGATTGTGTGGGAGGAGCGTGGACCTCGGGGTGACCCTGCCGCCGCTGGCTTCCAGACCTGCTCTGGTCTCCTCTTATAAGGGGCTGAGGGACACAGAGAAGCCTGGATTTTCATTTTGCGCCTGCGAAGCGTGCGTAGTTCCAGTCACTGAGGCCCAGCATGAGAAGATGGGAGAGCGACCCAGTGGCCGGCGGCAGCGGCCATCCACGCTCAGCAGACCCCACCACGGCCAAGCCGGAAGCCTGGGGGCCAGTTCACGCCGGCCAGGCCTCTGGCCGCTCTGCCTGCTCAGCTCCCACTTCAGGCCACAAATGCCTCCTGGAGCCGTCCCTGGAGGGAAGCGTCTCCGTGGACTAACCGCTGGCCCCGCTGGGAGACGCCAAGGCGCCGTACACGGGCGTCCTCCGGCTCCAGTTGCCAGAGAAACCCGTGGCAGCGCTCGCTGCTCACAGCTGCTCACGCAGCCGTGGGATGTCAGTCTGGTGCCCCCCCCTTACCCCGAGGCGTGGGCCTGGGGGGGCTTCCACTCCTTCAGGGCATCTTGGAAATGAGCAAGACACGAGCCTTTAAAGACCCGCTGGTCATTTCGGCAGCGGGAACGAGGCAGCACTTCTCACAAACCCTTACTAGGCCACAGGGACGTTTTCTGCTTTTAACTTCGCACAGGGGACATCTTGAGCCATCGAGACCTCATCTCCAGTCAGCAGCCTTCATTCTAGTCTCTTCCAAGTCCCCCGAGTGTGACCCTCCCTCGCGGAACCGGCAGGCCTTGCCGGAGGAGGGGCGCCCGCCTGGGGCCCAGCACAACGTCACCACCGTGACCGCGGAGAGGCACCCCCACCTCCCCCAGGGCTGGCCCGCCTGGGGCGCGGGAGCTCCGGGGCCTCGTCTCAGGAGACCGCTGAGACCGCAGCCGCCAGAAGGCGCTGGCCCAGCCCCACCACCCACAGCGTGGTCCTCGGCCGCGGGGACGGGACCTCGGCGTGGAGGCCGCTACTCACATCTGTAGGTCATCTCGAAGCTGTCGCTGGTGTTCACAATGTCAATCTGGGGGAGCAGCTTGGGGGGCTCTGTGAGTTGCGATAAAGCAAATCTAAAAGCCGCATGTTCCTGGGACTGCTGGTTTGGAAATAATCCCCCTAGGAGGAGAGAACGGCAGCGTGAGACGCCGGCAGGACAGGCCCCTCGCCACAGCCCGCCCCGCTCCAAACCGGCTGGTTTTAGCCTTTCCTGGGGGACGGGAGCACAGAGCCCGCTGGACGTGGGGCGTCCCCGTACAGACGGGCTTGCTCGTGCCAAGCACCTGGCACCGGCAGCTGTGCCCAGCGACCGACTGTCGCCCCCCAGCCCACCGAGAAGACGGGACCGGGGTGTGCTTTTCCTCCTCCCTGTGGAGGCCACCCGGGGCACGTCCACCCTCCCAGCCCAGAGCTCTCCAGGGTGAGGCCGTGCGGGCTGAGGCCTCGCTCCGGCGCCCGTGGGGGGTCGGGCACCGGCCACGTGCCGTGGCGCTTGGGACGTCACCCGCGAGACCCGGCGTCTCACCGCCTCGGCTGATTGCTCATCCCTCTGAAAACTCTTGATTTTCTGCAAAAGTGTTTTGCTGCTTTTTTCACCACTATCGATCCCAGCTACCTGGGAGTGTCTTGTTACATAAGGGGTGGCCATTGTGTGGGTTTGCGCGGTAGGACTCGGCCTCCCTAGGACGTGGCTTCAGAATGTCAACGGCGCAAGGACGGGCCATCCCCTCCCGCCCAGCACAGGCGCCTGCCGGCCTGGCTCCGGGGGCGGGCGCACCGGGCGCCTCGGGCTCACTCCCGGACACGCAGATGGTTCCGAGGCACTTGAGCGCTCTGCCGTGAGCTGCTTGCAGGGGCCGTGCCATAATGAGTGTTTACACAGAAGTTTCTCTCGGATCTGGGAAGGAATCCCGGGTCCCAGGGGACGCACCTCTGGCTCGGCACCCAGGGGTGACGTGGAGGTGGCCTCAGGGGCCATGCGTGGGCGTGGGCTGGTGTGGGCGTCCGGGAGGGGGTCCGCCAGGGCGGCCCGTGGCCCTGCTACCTGCGGCCTTTGTTCTCCCACGTGATGCTTCTCCCTCTTACGTGAAAACAAATGCAACGGTTTTCTCTGCTGGACAAGGGGGTGGGCGAAAGGCAAGGTGGGCCCGAGGGACGCCTGAGCTGCAACCCCCCACGGCTGCCCCAGCCCAGCGGGTCCGCGGGAGAAGGCCGTGGGCATAGGGCCGAAACCCCACAGCGTGAGGGCCCACGCGTGTCCACGGCCCCCGCCGTCAAGAGTGAAATCAGAGCTTCTGTGCCGGTGCCCCCTTGAGGGCCTCCCCAGGCCGTGTAGCCGTCCCCCGCGGGGACTGCGGGGCCGGGACTGGGGCCGGGGGCTGCGGGTACAGGCAGCGTCTCCAGCAGGAAGTTTGTTTGGCGCATGAGGCACTAACACACGGCACACGCTTCAAGCGTGTGGCCTAACAGGTGTCAGGAAACAAAGCAAGTTACTCCCTCCTGTCCCCACCCCCTCGCCGGCACGGGGGAGGCCGGCAGGGACAGGCGCCGCGGCACATGGGCACCCCCAACGTCCCCGCGCTGCCCCCCCCACCCCGCGCACACCAGGGACAGACGCCCCGTGATGGCCTGGCCCCGTGGGGAGCACACGCCACCCTGCCCTAGCGCAGGCTGGGACCCCGTGGCGAGACCCCGAGCCCACCCTGGGCCCCGGCTAGGGTGCCGGGCTGCTGGCTCTGCTGGCACCCGCCGTGCGGGGGGCCGTCTCCCCCGCGGGGTCTGAGCGGGGAGGGCGGGGGTCCTTGGGCAGCCGCAGGCAGGCCGGGCTGGGAACAGAAGGCAGCCGTGTGGGAAGGAAGCTGCCGGCGCCCCGCGGAGGGGAGGGAGCCGCGTGCTCCGTGAACGGTGGGCTCCATGGGGACGGCCGCGGGGGGCCGCAGGGGCAGAGGGAAGGCAGGCAGGGAAGTTGAGGGTGGAGGCGCGCCTCAGCCAGCATGGCAGCGCCAGGGAAGGCGGAGAGCCCCCAACTCAGAGCGAGCCGCAGCCCCCGGCGCCCCTCGGCTGGCTCTGGAGGGACCCTCTCCCCGCCCCCAGCCAGGAGGCGCCCACCCGCCGGTGCAGTATCGATGTGCATATTTAACACATAATCACACCCGTAAATACACGCCCCGCGCACATTTATCTAAATAAATGGAATCGGCAGCAGCATCCACCGAGCCCCGCGTTAACTCCTTGCCGCCCGGTCCCCTCCCACCGCCTGCCTCTCCTCCCAGGCGGCTTCCTCCATTTCGCACGCCGGGGTGTGAGTGGGGAGTGTGCGTGTGCGCCCACGTCCCTTCTGCTCCCCGAGCCGCAGACGCCCCCTCCCCACGCCGAGCTCCCGAGCCACACACCGCGGCCCCGTCGCGGGGGTGGGGGGCGCAGACCCTGCCCCCCGACCGCCAGACCCCCGAGTCCCCCGCAGGCTGCCCTCTCGCTCACCGATCTGGATGTTGTTGGGGAAATTGGCACCCACTACCGTGCCGAGGAACCCGGTGCAGAAGAGGGCGAGGATGCGCCGCATATTCCTGTTCGCATTGGCGAGAGGGGAGCCTAGGACCCGTCAGAGGTTGGCCGTGCCCCTTCCCGGCGCTCCGCTCCGCGGCCGCCGCCGCCGCTGGCCTCCGAGGTCCGCCCTGCCCGGCTGGCTTCCTCCCTTCCCTCGGCGCGGTCTGCCTGCTTCCCTGGGAGTCGGAGCATTTAAACTGCAGCCTTAACACCAACTGACAGGCAGATTAACTGAGCGCGGAGCAGCAGCGTCCTCATGCTCGCTGGAACGCTCCCCCTCTCTCCTCTCCTGCCTCGCTCCCGCCCGCTCGCTCCCCCTCACACTCACACAGGCTGCAGGCGCGAGCTCCCCGCCACAGCTGGCTCCTCCCTGCACCCCGGCCTCATCCTCTCCTCCCCCCTTCCTGGGGGGGTGGGGGTGGGGGTGACCCCTGGAGCTCTGCCCTGAAAAGAACAACACCCCCTCCCCGCCCTGCGGTGCCCAGCACCCTCCACCCCCGGCCTCTCGCCAGGCGGGTGCTCCTGGGAATGTGGGTGCAGCTGGAAGTCAGTAGGTGGCAGGGGGTCCCCACAGTGGCTCTGCGCCTGCTGGCCGCCTCATCTAGGTCACTTTCCTGGGAGGCGCGGCTGTGCTGGATCTGTCTCTGCACTCCACTGGCCCAGATATTCCTACAACTAATTCCTGAGGGGAGACCCTAGAAATCCCTCCTAGGAACTTTAAAGGGAAAAAGCCTTTTCTCCCCCAAAGGGAGGAACGACAGGAAGACGTGGGCGGGCGGGGGGCTGCAGGGATGGGCGGCCAGAGGCCCGCTTGGACCTCGGCCATCCCGCGGGCCTCCCGCCGCCTGGGGTCTCCCCACCCAGCCCTGGCAGCCAGCCTGCCCCGGCCCTGCGTCCCGGCGCCTGTGGCATCAGATCGTGGGTGCGCGATGGAGTCTGGGGAGCCTCACACAGAGCGAGGCGTGAGTCATTTTGCGGGGAGCCAGGGAGGGCTCGGCCGCTCCCCATGGTCTCTGGATGCTGGTGGTGCTCAGCGACCCTGGCCCAGGCCCCAAGGGAGGAGGCCGTGGGGAGGAGGAGCAGGTTCAGGCGCAACGTGTGAGACGCCAGCAGCCGTCACTCAGAGCCTGGCGCTGCGGATCCCGGGGCGGCTTCAGGGTCCTCGCTCTCTGCCGCCGGCCTGGGACAGGCCACGCCTGCTCCAGATGACAGCCCCGGCGCCAGGCTAAACCAGGGACACAGGCCTACTGAGTGGAGCCTGGATGCGGGGCCACTCACAGCCGCACACGGACAGTCTCAGCCTGGCACGCGGATGGCCTGACCCGCGCACAGGGACCGCCTGACCCGCACACAGGGACCGCCTGACCCGGGCACAGGGACCGCCTGACCCGCGCACGCAGACGGCCTGCCCTTCCCCACCGCCCTGGGCAGAGCCCCTACCAAGGACGAGAATCCAGGACAAGCAGGGCCCCTCCCCAGGGGCGGGGACGGACGGCGCTGGACCTGACTATGCTTGGTCCCTAGACGAGGCCTCTTCCCGGAAACCCCGTTACTCCGCGGGGAGTGGCCGGCCCGGATGTGGGTGCTGCCAGAGGCGGCCTCACCAGGCACGGGCCTGGAGCGGCCCCACGGCTCCCACCGCACTGCAAGCTCGAGCGAGTTTACGCAGACGTGTCCCGCCGACGTGCCCTGAGGAGGCGGCCCGGGGTCTGAACTCCACCCCAGCGTCGAGGCAGAAGCAGTGGAGGGACAGTCCAGAGGGCGTGGGCTGGCTGGGAGGGCCGGGACGGAGTCCTCCGCCTCATTTTCGCCCCTTGCTATTTTGTGGGACCTGGGACCCCGGAGGCCCCGATGCTGTGCCTGGTGGACATACTGATCAGGCGTCTCTGAGGCCTCCCGCTCCCGCCACCTCAGAACAGGCCTCAGAGCCCTTGGCAAGGCTGATCAGCACAGTCTCAACGCCCACCTGTAGCAGGTAGGTTTGTTGTGCTTTGCGGGAGGGGCGCTCGGAAGACCGTTTGTGGGAGCTGAGTTCAGTCAGGCAGGGCTCCTGAATTACAGAGGCTCCCGAATTACGGGGACTCCTGAATTATGGGGGCTCCTGAATTATGGGGGGCTCCTGAATTACGGGGGCTCCTGAATTACAGCTCCTGCCTGTGGTCCTAGCAGATATGGCCTGGCTCCCCCTACCTGTTAGGTACGTCTTTTGGGGTTCCGTAAACATGGGGCTCATGCCCTCTGACTCGCCTGTGGGCGTCTACTGTGCATTCCCACGCAGGCACGGTTGACTGGACAGTGGGCAGGGCCTGAGGCAGACGGCGTGCTCAGGGGGTCAGCTGGGGGCAGTGGTGCCCCTGGGCGGGCTGGCTGCATCGGGAGGTGTCCTTGGCCTTCACGGCCAGGCTGCCCGGCCCCGGTGGGAGGAGGTGGGGTGCGGCTGAGCCGAGGACGACCTGCACAGCGCTGGGCCACCGCACAGGCACAGCCGCCGGTGCCGCCTTCACGTCCTCCGTCACCGCCTGCAAGGATGCCCCGAGGCACGTGGGGGGTCCTGGCAAGCCTCCTCACGCTGCTTCCCTTGACCCCAGGACCCTGGTATGGCTGGCTGTGACTGGCCAGCTGGGTCGTGACACCCCAGTTCCTCCCCATGTGGCTGAGAAGGACGTGTCTGGCTCTGCTCCCAGCCACAGCCCAGGGAGGAGGGTGCTGGCCCAGCGGGGACGCGCAGGCGTGGGTGGGCTGGGCGGAGGGGCCGAGAGCGGGGCCCGCCTGCGGGAAGGCGCCTGTGGCCGGGTGTGTCTCTTCGTCCAGGGGCAGCAGTAAGAGGTCTTGTGTGGTTTTGAATATTAAATGGCCCAGGGGGTGCCTGCGGGCTTGACTGGCCGCTGAGTGTCCGGCTGAGTGGTCCTGAGCACATGGGCCCAGCATCTGCCCCAAACGGGGGGAGGGAGGGGGGCCGAGTCCGTTTGGCCTCCGGGCCTGACTCGGCACGTGTGAGAAGCTAAGAGAGGTCAGGCGGTGGCCGCAGGCTGTTGGGGCGCTGACCCTACCCGGCGAGGCCCTCTGTGTGGGGCCGCACCTCCACCTGCAAAATGTGGGGTTTGCCCTGAACCCCTCCTGCTTTGGGCATGTTAGCTCCTGGCATGTGGCAGTTTGGGGAGGGGGCCCCTGAGAGTCACGATCTGAGGATCGGGCCCTGACGAACAGGCAGGAACGCCCTCGGGGAGGCGCCGCCGCGGCTTGGAAAGGCCCCTGCTTAAAAGACGTGGAAAAATAATGATAATGTTTTTCATGTTGTTAGCACAACCTCTCCAGAAGGCTCCCAAAATACCCCGCAGACCGTGCGTGGCGAGAACACCCCCCGGAGGAGGTACCGCCACCCTGGCGTCCTGCCAGGCTGGGCAGCCTCTCTGCTCTCCCTCTCCAGGCGCCCCCCACACGCTCTCGTCTCCACAGCCCTCAGCACCACTAGGCAATTAGGGAGCCGCAGTTCTGGGGACACCCTGGGGCAGGATCAATGCCTGGGAAGAAAGGGTCGGCTCCCAGGGGACGCGCCCACACAGCCATCGCTTCTGGAGGAATTGGAGGCGCTGACTTTCCTCCAAAGCGGCGGGGCCTTTGGAAGGGCCGGCCGACCTCGGGGCTGGTGCCCAGCGCGGGTCCCTGGCCATCCTAGGCTTAGCGCACGCCCGCTGGCGACGCGGGGCACCCTCTGCAGGTGCCGTTTGTTTGCAGGAGACCGTGACCTCGGCGTCCTGCTGGGGGCCCCTGAGGTTCTCCACGCACGTCTGGAGGTGATGGCTCGGCGAGGCTCCGGGCACGGGGAGGCCCCACTGGAGGAGCAGACTGGCCCGTCCTTACCCTGCGGATGGAGCCGGCCCCGTTTGCTGCTGGAGCCCTCTCCCAGACTCCAGCTGGCTGATTTCCGCAAAGCCAGGGCCACTTCCTGAACCTGCAAAACACTTGTCCGCCAGGCTGGGCACGTGCGAGTCTATGCCCAGGGCTCCTGCCATCCCTCCTGCCGCCCGCCTCCCTCCTCCCTCACCAGCCTTCCCGCTCCTGGCCCGAGCGAGGGGCCGGGGCCGCCCTTCAGCAGAGGCCACGGGCTGTGGAACACAGCCACCTCCACACCCTCCGCCCAGGCCTCCCTCTCGGCCAGCCCCGTCTCCACCCCACCGCGTGGCTGCACTGCACGCCCCTTCGCTGCAGCACGCCAGACGTCGTCACTCCTGGCTGGGATCTCCATGGCAGCCTTGGACTGAGCCCCCAACCTGGAGCCGCCGCCTCTTCAACCCCGCAGCCCACACCGCCCCCTCGCTTGCTGTGCGCGGGCGCGCTGGCCTGCCTGCAACGCGTCCTGCCTCGGGACCTTTGCACTTGCTTTGCTGTCTGCCTGGAGAGCTCCGCCCCAGAAGCCCAGGGCTCCCGCTCCCACGCCACCCGGGCTCCTGCCCGAAGCCTCCCGCCTGCTGGTCTGCGGCGGTGCCCGTCCCGCAGCGTCCCGCCGCCTGTCTTCGCGGCGCTGGTCTTCACCTGTGATGCGGGTCCCCCATAGCTCGAGCAGAGCCTTCCTGGGAAAGTCTCGCAAACGGAACTGGCAGAAAAAACGTTTGCCGTTAATCCACGTGGAGAAGTTGGGCGTATCCAGAGAGTCAAAGTACGACCCCCCCAAACCCACTCACACCCGAGCAGCACTGGCGCCCCGGGAGCGCGGGCACAGCGCGGGCACAGCGCGACCGGCCGAAGCGCCGCAGCAAAGCCAGCGCGGAGCCCGGCCCTTCCCCTTCCGCCCCGAAGCACAACGTCGCTTTCGGTTGTTCCCTCAGGGGGAGCAAGGGAGGCCCTTGAACAAAATTCTCTTTCTGGGTCCTTGGCGCGTGACAGGCGTTCCGCGAGGACCTGCTGTCATCGCACCGCATTTCCCCAGACCTCGCGTTCCTGAGAACCCGCGACAGCGCCCGGCGAGGACTCTCCGTCCCGTGGAGCTCCGGCCCGCCAGGCCGTGTGATGGGCACGCGGGGGGGCAGGGGCTGCCGCTGCCTGCTGGCTCGTGCCCTGGCCGTCGCTAGGCTGTCCTGGCGCTGCAGGCTGGGGCGTGGGACGCCAAGCCAGCTCTCGGTGAAGGCCTGGAGAATGGGCCGTCCGTACCCTCCCCTGCACCCCCTGCCAGTCACTTTCTGGTGTGTGAAGACGGGTGCTTTGCTCGTCTCCCCCGACTCTGAGTGCTCCCTGGCTCTCTGGGTGCTCCCCGGCTCTCTGGGTGCTCCCCGGCTCTCTGGGTGCTCCCTGGCTCTCTGGGTGCTCCCTGCCCCTTGTGACGTGAGAGTCAGCGTAGCCCCCA